ACACACACACACACACACACGCTCCAACCCTTGACGCTCGCATGCCAACATCCTATCATATCCAATCGTAGTTGATATGTATTGTGACGGACGAGACAAAAGCTAACGCTGCTTTCCTTAATCCCGCAATAAGTGGGTGCAGCATGAGAATTTCTCCTCGCCTTACACCACCTAACGCTGCTTTCTTTATCCCGCAATAAGTGCGTGCAGCATGAGAATTTCTCCTCGCCTCACATCACCTAACGCTGCTTTCTTTATCACGCAATAAGTGGGCGCAGCATGAGATTTCTCCTCGCCTCACACCACCTGACGCTACTTTCTTTATCCCGCAATAAGTGGGTGCAGCATGAGAATTTCTCCTCGCCTCACACCACCTAACGCTGCTTTCTTTATCCCGCAATAAGTGGGTGCAGCATGAGAATTTCTCCTCGCCTCACACCACCTAACGCTGCTTTCTTTATCCCGCAATAAGTGGGTGCAGCATGAGAATTTCTCCTCGCCTCACACCACCTACACTCACATATTGTATGTGATACATCACAACCCCAAACCCTTGTCAGTTTCCTCACTGTCCTGACATATACTTGTGTTCAGAATTATTTAAGCATCATTATTTCTTTTGTATTTCAGATTTGCTGACAGTACCATGACGAAAATTAGATGGGCAGTTAAAAGTTTTAAGGACTGGCAGACGCACAGGAACAGATTAGCAGAGGACTGAAACATAAGTCATATTTTCACAGAATTGGAAGATATGACCCGCGATGAACTGAACTACTCGGTCTCCCGTTTTATTTGTGAGGTAAAGAAGTTAGACGGCTCGGACTATCCTCCAGATACACTATACAGTTTTGTCATCTGCATTCAGCTGTACTTGGATACGCTTGACAAGTGCTACAAACTACTAACTGATGACTCGTTTTCCCAGATTCGGAATACTGTGGATATGTGATGAAAATCAAAAGCAAAACCTGCAAACAGAAGAAACAAGGACAGATTATTACACCGGAAGAAGAAGACGTGTTATGGTCAAAAGGCTGTTTAGGAAGTGACAAACCTTCCCAGTTGCTAGACACAATGGTATATCTGATTGGTATGAACTTTGCACTACGTGGTGGACAGGAACACAGAAACTTGCGCAGAGGATCATTTTCACAATTTGAGATCTGTGAAAGTCAACATGGACGTTATCTTATGTACACTGAACAAACTTCGAAAACAAACAGTGGTGGACTGAAACATCGCAGACTGGACAACAAACGAGTTGTTGCGTACGCAAATGTGGACAGGCCTGGTAGATGCATTGTCAATTTGTTTGCAAAGTATTGCTCACTGTGTCCATCTTCATCGAAAACTGATAGCTTTTACTTACGACCATTGGATAAGCCATTTAGAGAGGATCTGTGGTATTGTGATCAACCTTTGGGGAGACATAAGCTTGCGTGTGTTGTTTCAAGACTATGCAAAACAGCAAGTCTTACTGGATACCGTACGAATCACTCACTGCGCGCCTCAGAAGCAAGCCGACTTTATGAGGCTGGAGTAGACGAACAATTAATATGTGAAGTGACTGGTCATAGATCCACGGCTGTGCGTAACTACAAGCGTACAACAGAATCTCAGAAGAAGGCTGTGAGCAGTGTCATTCAGGGTTCGACTGAGACGGCTACCAGCGGCGTTCGCAGTGGTGTAGTCGCTCTTGACAACGAGAAATTGAACATTACCATAAATGTGAATGTGCATTAAAATGAAATCAGGAGTATATGTGCTTAATTTAAAAAAAACCCATTTTGGTCATTAAAGGTTGTTATTTTCCTAATCGTTTTTTCAGCTGCTTTGTCGTTTGAAAGATTTTTTTATTCGAATCCCATTCTAATACTCCCAAGAGTAGTAGAATCGAGATACTGATGGCCTCAGCAACTCTCCATTCCTTAAAAATAATGGAGTGCTTAAACAATAGAGTGACGTCACAAATGTAATTTAAGGAGGTGTATCAGTGATGGTCTGGGGTGGAATCACCTACGACAACCGAACAGATTTGATTCGTGTGGATGGTCGTCTAACCGTGACGAAGTGTTACGCCCAGTGGTGCTTCCGTTCGCTAACAGAGTTGGGCGGTTGTTCGAGTTTCAGCAGGACAATGCAAGGCCACATACTGCTCGTGTTTCAGCCGATTTTTTTTAGGCAGAACCAGGTCGCTGTGCTTCCATGGCCGGCTAAAAGTCCAGACGTTAACCCGATAGAACATTTATGGGACGTTCTTGGTCGTCGGGTGCGAGATCGTATTAATCAACCTCGTAATCTGGGCGAGATGTTTGACTGTTTAAGACAAGAGTTGCATAATGTTCCAAGGGCTACAATCCGGGCATTAATTCGGAGTATGCAAAGACGTTGTCAGGCTGTTGTGAGAGCTCGTGGTGGTCACACGTCATACTGAAGAACTGAGATTAAATCATTATTTACCATGCAGCTTTCATTTGTTCAAGTGTTGTATTAAAATCTTGTCTGCGCCATCTATGCGATCCTTTATTTTATTCCATCAGTGTATGTAACCCTCCTCTTTTGATGTTTTTGACAAACGACCGGTACCGCATTATCCCAAGCCGGCTGTGACACCATAGCGATGAGCAAGTTTTTGAGTATACGATACTCACTGTCAAAAACAGAGATGGAAACTTCAGATCAGGCTTATTTTATCCACAATGTGTTGATGGACACATTCATGGCCATGTCAACATATTGTTAGGTTAGCCCTGTCTTCAGACGCCCGATCTAAATCTGACATTTGTAGCCCGTCCCAAGCAATGAAAAAACAGTAGCCAAGAGTCGCGATGTGGTCCTACAGACATGTCTTGACTTTTGACCCTATCGCGGCTCTCGGCATAATGTATCATGGACCATCTTGCCGAGGCAAGGGAGTTGACAGTAAAAGTTCAGTTGCCACCCTCGTGTTGCACGTGAGAACCGGATTCGAACAGAAAAATATCAGAACTTAATTTATTTCGTAGTCTGGCCAGGAGGCCAGTATTACAGATGATTAGACAATACAGACATATTACATCAAATACGTCGACATCGAATAACCTTTTCTCGTTTGTTTCATATTTAGCCATAATCAAACATACTGTGTATACTTTCCATCGTCCAGCAGTTAATGAAGTCCTAGGCGGATGTTTGATTTCGAGGTCATGGCGATGGAACCAGGTTTCACCATGTGATGAACGTTCCTCAGTATCTTCTTGCGCAGTTGTTTTTCAAAATAAGGATGATAACCCTTTGATGTTACCACAACTTGGTCTCTGTACCTAAACCCGTATAATTTCCAACACGCTGGGTACCGTTATGTGCATTGATTCCCCCACGCCATTATATAGCCACTAACAAAACGATTTGTCTCAATAACACAGATCTGTGCATAACGTTCTCCTGTGCGTCCATACACACTGACGCCCATCGAAATGGGGCACAAGCAGCTGGACTCGTCTGTTAACAAGACGTTTTGCACCGATGTAGGTGAGGCCGTCACTGCCTGTTGGTCAGAATTGGAGCTATGAAAGGTCGACGGGAACGCAGTCTGCGTGCACATAAGCATTTTTTCTGATGGTGTTAGGATGGATCCTCCTTATAAAGAATTTTCTGTATGTCGTCACATCCATTTGCATCCGGTTCCGCGAATGGGTGAGCAGTATTCAACGGTCCCGTGCCAGGGTCGTAACGCTGGTCGTACAGAGCGTGGTGGATCTCCGACATCATTCTGTTGCTGATGTTGACGCATGAGTGCAGCTGTGGTTTCTGTGACAGTTGAGGCGTATTTCAACTTCCCGTTGTGTTCTTCCTGTTGCAAGCATTCTAATGGCTGGGTGGCGTTCAGCGCGTGACAAAAGTGGCATTATGTCACCTGTCAGAACCCTTTGGATGAACGTTGATCTAGGCCTCTATCAGCTTTCTAAAGCACGGACAGGTGACGGCCTGCATGTTTTCCATAATCCTAGGGAACATGCACGTGCAGAAATGGTTTTGTTGGTCATGTGCAACACTGTAACAGTGTGACAGTTGGTGATCCGTAGGAATGTTTGCTTGTAAGGAACATGACATGTTTACATCCTAGATGCTCATATTGATTGGATTTGAACACCTCATTTTTTTCACATGTAGTTTCTTTTTGTACCAAGAACATGCAGTTAAAGAGTGTAGGAAGAGACCTGGCTTTAATCCATATATTTTTATCGTAATTACAGAAATTTGCTGGACACTTGTCATAGACTTGCTTTCTCATATCTCACACCAAATGTGGTTGTATATGTTATGAGTATTGGTTCTATCAAAGTGGTATAATTTTAGCTATTCATTTTCTTAGCTTGCTAGCCTAAAAGTGTCTCACAAAAATGTAATCAAAGAAAGGCTTGTGAAATAATATCCCTGTTTATGCCTGTTGAGAACCATAACTCAGAAACTCACAAAGATATGTTTACAAAAACCTGAATGTTGATTCTGACCTAAAGACTTATTTTGAACAAAACATTTTTGGTCCCTTTCCAGGTTTATATTAAGTTCAATGATAAATACACCAAGATCTTTAAAAAAACGACAAGCAATCAGAAAAAAAGTTTACACACTCTTTTCATATGTGCCAAAAGAATTTAAAAAGCCATATTGAAGTAGTCCGTGTAAGAATAATATCTAATGCCTAGAAGTTGTGTGTAGTAGACATTACAAAAATCAAAGGTGGCAGTGGTCAAATTACAAAACCTAAAACTGTCCAGTTTCTTCTATTACTGAATGTGGCAAACAAATGAAATTTTAATTTGAACCTCTAGAAAATATCCAGGTCTGGTGGGGTTTCAGCTAGTCTTCTGACAGGCCCATACAGCCGGCAGGCAACCAGGCTCACTTTTGGTCAGGTAAGCTAAATATCACATGTGCCTGATGATTTTCTGACATTTTGAAGCCTTCCCATTACTCAGTTCTGTATACTGGGAGTAGACAACACAAATACCAAGAACAAGAAGACATTTTAATTGCAGACATTAAACACTTATGTACAAAATTCTAAATTATTCTAGTGTGTATCTACAAGGAATGGTCAGGTTACAACAAGCACTACAGCATAGAAGGGCTGCACTCATTCTCCTCAGGCAAACGATTTTGGAGGCGCTGGCTGCACACAAAACACTTTTCAAAGCAAGCCCACACGACGGATGAGGAGTGCAGAAGAGTGCCTGCTACATTTCATGGTTTACTCCAAGCAATGTGAACTGTTGACAAACAATTGCGCAGATTGGAAAGAGAGTGAGTGGTAGTATGTTACCAGTATTTTGCATGCTTGTATATCCTTGGCAGCCAGTCCCTCCCAATCAACACACAATCTCCTATAAAACTGATATTCTCCATTCCATCCTCAACAAAGGCCCACATTAAACAAAGTCAAAATTTAAGAAAATTTACTGTTATTTGTAAACTGGTTGTAATACTGAATCTATGTATTGTAGTAATTACAAAAGACCTTCATCCTCCTGCTAGTAGTCTATTGTCAGGATGGCTGATATCATACACTCTTCAATGAGATTGTGTAAAATCCTGCATTCTGATTATCAGCTAGTGGTTATAAATCTACACAAGACCATATCTTTGCTCATAAACACTAAAGAAAGTATATATTCAGTAGCATTTCTTTCGCTGATCACTGATTTCACACCTTCAACCCACTGTAGATATTAGGCTCAACCCACTGTAGATATTAGGCTCAACCCATGCCTCATAACTCATCAAGTATGTTATAACCCAAGAGTTTATGTTTCTTTTGTCATTTTGTCATGGTTGAATGGAAATAAACCTATTGTGTTTTCAATGTAGAGGTTACAAATGTACATCTGACACCTTGAAATGTTCACAATAACGTGAGGTTTTGAATTCTAACATTTTTTTAACATGTCTTGAATCTCTGTCAAAATCTCTACGCGGAAAACACACTACAGTAAACTACGGTTATAACGAACTCAAAGGGACCACAAATTTTAGTTCATTATAACCGTAAATCGTTATAAGCATATATACAGGAAATGGCTGGGGCCAAAAGAACAGTTTGTTATATCCGCCAGTTCGTTAAAAGCGTGTTCGTTATAAACGTAGTTTACTGTATATTTATCTCCTTAATCACATTCTGGTTTATCTAGCTGGATAACACCATGGTTTTCATAAACATACATCAGTCATTTTAGATTAAAATATTTGATTTTCTGGAAAATATTTATACATAGAAAGAAACAAACCTAGGAACAAAATGCACAAAGCTCTGCAGCTCACCTGAATATTTCAAGAATTTTATATTACATCAAGAAATGCAAATCCGGATATGTTAAATAAATAACAAAACTCTCCATTAAACATCCTCCAAGCATGTTCATTAAATCTGATAATAGAAAATGTATAAAGGGCAGAGGACCACAACATGTTCATCAGGACTACCAAGGCATTGCAGTATATCAAGGTCACAATTTGTGACAGCAAAAAACGCACAAACAAAAGTGTCATATGTCATACAACATAACTACTGATTATCAAACATAATAATGATATATGCAGAAATAGCTTAACAATGGGCAAATATTACATTTTCAGTAGGACAGCTGTGTTTTAATGACCCTAAGTTTCTGAAGACATGTTGAAATCCATTAAAACTACACCAACTGCAGCGTGTGATGGTTAAATATGCTATTCTGTAAAACACAGGAAAGTCAAAGACTGTAGCTCGTTCAAAAATGAAAATATGCCATAAACATATGACATGTATACGTTATTCCAAAATATCATGACTCGTGAAGATCGGGTGAACTGGTCTTCAGCAACCCATGCTTGTCATTATAGGCGACTAAAGGGATTGGGTGCTCAGGCTCGATGACTTTCCAAATTGTGTAGATTGATGCTCATGCTATCACTCATTGGCTTGTCCTGTCCCAACTCGAATATTTACAGACCGCCATCATGTAGCTGGAATATTGTTGAGTGCGGTGTTAAGCAACAAACGAAATGATCATAATGACATGAAGAGAAGCCTGAATACATGGATAATGTAGTGCACTAAAGCTCTCCTGGACATAATGTCAATAGTTTAAAGAGCAAAGATAGCCACAAAACAAAAGTTGCTGTCACAATTGATATTCTTAAAAAAAAAATCCTGCAAAAATTTACTTACAGACACTAAAGTATAACTGTACAAAATAAGCTGTCATCATATAAAGGAGAAACATACATGCCAAAATTCAGCTCCCTAAGTCTGGCAATTTCATCAGACAAGAAGTCTACCGAGGCAATTATGCATTTTGAGAGAACTTGAGAGCATGGTCAAACAAGAACAAAATCCCCCAAAATGAAACATGTGGTGAGAGCCACTCATAAATTTCACGTATACCAAATTTCATTACATTCTGAACAAATCACTATGTAATGGTCATAAAAAGGGTTTGTTTGACTTGTTGAAAACATTGGGGAGAACAAATAAAGGTGACGATTTGTTCCCAATTTTTTTCCATTTATGAATAAAATAGGATTAAACTAACAATTTGGGGTGTCATCATTCGTGGGAATAAGTACATAAAATTTCAGCTTCATTGGTTAACACTGCAAAGAATTACATTTTAAGAGAACTTAGTTGCATGGTCAAAGTGCAGAGGTCAAAATTAATAATAGGATATAATATTCCCTTTCACACTTCTGTTTTCTGTAAATAATCTACAATATACATAAGGAATACTGACTGCCATGTAAATTTTCTGTCTTAGTAGGGGTGCTTATAATGATTACTTATAGATTGCTCTAGAAGTTGGTCAGAGGGCACTTTTTCAAGTAGGGCGCTTAATATCAAGTGACCTAAAATTGACTTTTTCTATAAGGCTGCCATGAATTCTCTCAGTACATTTTATAAAGACAGTGTTGGGATGATAAACACGCAAAATCAGCGTTAAAAACCCAGAGGTTTCAGGAGACGTTGAAAATAAATTAATTTAAGAAAAACAAGGGTAAGTGAAGAACAAACATCATACCTAGGTCAAAAGAATACAGAGGCAAAAACATATCAAGTAATACCATCTTCCTGTAAAATCAAAGCATGTTTTAGAGACACTTTACCTGGGATCATTGGATCAATGAATGGACAACCAGACAGACAACATGTCATAACAGAAAGCTCATTTGACTTTGTCAGGTGAACTTAAACACTTATCATGACTCCTTTGAATACATGGCTTCTAGAAAATGTATTGTTTTAATATTGATGCTAATCCTTGTGATAGATCACAGAGTTCCTGATTCCATTTCTCAACAACAGCATCAAAATGAGTATTAACTATCTATGCAAATATGTGCACACATTTGATTACAACAAGCGCTTCATGTTAGTCAAGTCTTTTTTCATGAAATGAAATCAAACGAAATCCTACCACATATCCTCCAGAACGATCATTATGCAGAAAAAATGTCTTGACCACATTTGCTGCAATATGCTAAATTCCAAACGAGTACCAGAACTTATAAATAAATACCTAAAATGGATTACCTTATGCAGTTACCAAGGTGCCTTCGATGCTATGTTTCCAAAGCAGCGCCACAAGAATCTAGTGTACAATAACATAATATCAAGAATACACACAAATGTTGGAAATACACACTCACTGAGTCTCACTCCACACAGGACTAAACACACTTACACAAAACATGTATTAATATATTCTGCCATGTACAAAACCTTTGTTGTTCATGTAAAGGGTGGCTGCTTTATTTCAAACCTCCAAGACTGCACACACCCTTGTGTCCGTAGTAGGCTACAGAGTGTGTGGGCAATCCCATCTAAACAGCCAAGTAGTTAGTTATGCCACACAAACAATGTGCAACAAAATGGGTACTCATCAAAAGCCTCAACTCATATGATAATGACACAGTATATCAATAACATAAGCCAAAGAAACACTGATTAACTGATTGTGGATAACAATGACTGTCATATGTAATATTGCACAACATTTTTGCAATACACAGCAGTTACATTTACATAAAATTCTACTCACCTTGAGTGAGTGAGTGAGTACGGTTTTACGCCGCTTTTAGCAATATTCCAGCATTATCACGGCGGGGGACACCAGAAATGGGCTTCACACATTGTACCCATGTCGGGAATCGAACCCGGGTCTATGGCGTGACGAGCTAACGCTTTAACCACTAGGCTACCCGACCGCCCCTCTCACCTTGAGAGGAGATGCACTTTTCTTATGGCTTTATCAAACAATTTCTCACATCTCATAAATGATAAAATTTCCATTTTGATGCAAAGCTTCAGATCTGTGACAAATATTACCATAACGTAGACATTACTGCCCCTGGTCTTTTGTCATATTCAAATAAGATGTCATACACCAAGTTTGGCCATGAAAGCATAAGATATATTTCCTAACATATTTCATGAGACAATTGACCCCACACATTTGTTGGCAGTATAATTTAGTTCCCTTAACCTTTGTACTCTGGACATAATGCATTGCCCTTATCATCAATGTTTCCATTCAAGCTTTAAGATTTCTGAAAACAAGTTGTTGAATAAAATTCTTCAATGTTTTTGTCAACATCATTTTAAAACACTTGGTGCAATAACTTTCAGATTTTTTACCCCGCACCATCACCTACAGTTGATGATCATGATGCCTTGAACATTGTTGAATCTAATTAGACAATACAGTCTCAGCTTTCTACGCTTTGTGGTTCTTGAGAATACATTTTAGTCAAATTTTGTGTCCTTGGCAACCAAATTATGAGAAAAATTTACTTTCTGCCATTGTGACTCCATCTATTTAGATAATTAGATGAAATGTTAAATAGGGCATTGTGCTCTTAAAACTTTCATCTACTTTGATTTTTATTGCAAGTCAGCATTTTAGAGACTTCAACAAGAATGCTGAAATACTTTAATAAATTGAAAATATTCATCACTAGAAAAATTAGATTGCATAATATACTAAAACAGAAGTAGCACAATCCACCTTTTCCTGAATGTGCCCATACTTTCCCATCAGAAACATGTATAATGAACCATTTTGATAGTGACATCAGGTGACAGTTGCTCACACACCAAATAAGAACAACTTTCAAGCAGAAAGGCTTATACCTCAATCTAGCTACCTTGATAACAAGGTCATAAGCACTTCAAGTATAATAACAACACTTCCAGTTTTTGAAAACACACAGCCAATGCAGCAAATAGTTGAAACAAAGTTTCATGCCTATAGCATTGACTTTTAATCTCAACCTTGAACTGTCTGGAGATCATGTACTTAAAGTTTCATTAAATTCCAATAATAAATTCTCAAGTTATCTTGTACACAAGCTTTTGGCTGCCCAACTCACACTGTATGACCTTGACTTTCAATGTCATCCAATCACTTGTTGCAAACTTAGGTGGTGGTATTACAAATATGAAAATCTCCATTTCGTTCACGGGTGAATGACTTTCAAAGTGATAGGTATTGAGTTAATTATTGAGAGTATATCACAAATGATTGGAATATTTTTGTGTGATTTGTCAAGAATGAATCCAAAATTTTCACCATATGTTTTCATAATTTGACCTCTTGTGACCATGACCTTGACCTTATATAGAGTTCACAGGAAGGAGATACTGACTTCAGGATCATGTGCACCAAGTTTCCTTAAATAATCATGTTGTCATTTACACAATCTTTTATTATTCCTAGTTCATAGTGACCTTGAATTTAACTCTGATCCTGTCAAATGTTATAAAAGTACATAGGAAGTATATCAGATATGAAGTCCCAAACATACCAGTATGTGCATTGGCATGTGGTTGAGGAAACCTATTGTGTTGGCAGCAGCAGCAGAGCTCAAATTCGAGCAACATATTAAGCAGACACCATATAGGTGGTTGTTTAATTGTATCTAGTCAGCCTGTAAGCTTCTCATAACAATTATGATTTAGACACAGTTTAAGATTTCTACATCCAATGGTGTTTCAGAAAAAGATTAAACCTCCTTTTCTGATATTTTGATTTCTTCAATATTTTTGATTAAATGACAAGGATTTAAACAAAAAATGTCGTCGTGGGGGGATCCATGCACATTTTCAGCTTCATCAGTACAGAGGATTCACAGGAGAAGATTATTACAAGAATTTATGAGAGAATTTAGGGGGCTTGGTAATAATGTAATAATGTAAAGGTCAAAATTCCTAATATCACACAAAAGTATGTGGGTACATGCATGTGAAATTTCAGCATCTTTAGCAACGGTTTCTGAGGAGAATAAGTTAACAGATGATGCCATGCCTCACAAACAGGATATGATTTCATCTGCTGTCTCATTTAGAAGGCTTGCACTATCATAAAACATTTTCATGGGCTCTGGTCATAGTGTGGCTTCTCTTCATTCCTGTACACATGCTAACCAGTTGTCAACTGCCTGCCATCAATGTACAGATGTTAGGTGCAACACACTACAGACTCTCTCTCCAAAATAATCAGAAGGACATAACAAAACAAGAATTTTCAATGTTTCTACCTGCTACAATCAACAGCTCCCCAAATAAACTACTTTTCTTGGTTTTCAGAAGTTAGTTGTTAATCACAAAACCTCTATGAAACCGTTTCACTTCTAACCTCCCTGGATGCATACTGATTAATAGTATAAACCTAATCATGAAGAATCTTGTCTTGACAACATCTAACATCAAACCTTTTCCTATTTGGAATTTTCCAAGGTAATATTAAACATCTGGTATATCAAGAATTTTTCTTTGGATTGGCAACATCAAATATTTATTGAGTAAAATTATTAAAGTCTGTACAAGTGAGATTGAACATTAAGAAATCTGCAGATAAACATCAAACACCACTGTTAAACAAGCAATCATGCACTGGATAAAATGTATCTTTATTTGAAATATACCATATCTAACACAATGGACTTCTTATCATTCACAGAAATGTAATGAATGTCCAAATGAATATAGCCTGTCTTCATGAGCCTGTATCTACCACACCTGAACACCATTCATCTGCATATTGCATATTTTCCTCATCAGAAACAATCATGTAGATTGACTTTTCATTAAAAAAATTACTTCGTGGATTCTAACACAATGAATGAAACAAAGATCATAGTCAATGCTTATATGTATCAATATGTCTTGGAGGCATAACTGGCAAATGAATACATGAAAGTGATTACCAGTACGTACAATGTACCTGGTAACCACAGCTGAACAAATTGTCATGAAACTGACCTTAACAACTACTATTCACACCTGATTCAACTCAGTAATAATAAGTGCTAAAACTACTGTAAACATAATTTAACAATATTTTAACATTACTGTTATGCTGGAAAAGTGTCTAACTTCTCAGTCATATTAGCAAGAGTGTATGGATTTTATGATTTCAAATAAAGAAAGATTTCCAAACAGTCATTACAGCATCCAGTACAAATTGGAGTGGCATTTATTAGCTCACCATACAGTGACTAATGTTGAGTTCAGCTATGAGATTGTGTTCTAGAATTGGCTTTCCATTGTGCCATGTGGGCTTTCAGTGTTCTCTCTGATGATCTCTTCTTGTACATGGAGATGATCCCACTAGGAACTTCACAGTGTACATAGAAACACACATCCTTGAGAAAACCATCAGAGCATTAGCAATTTACAATAATCAAAGTAACCTCATTCTGAATTATCCTCCCACCAACTTCCTACTCCAACAATAAACAGCTGTTGAGGTGCAGCTTGCAAAACATGAATGAAAGAAAAATTTCAACATGAAAACTATTACTGACAATTCTGCACAGACTTTCCCAATTCCACTTGAATGAAATGGGAGAAAGAGTAAATGTTCAAGAAAGCTCAGCAACTAAAGAAATTTTAGTGTTGGTGTGGCTGAATTACATTTGTATTAAACAAGTTTCAAAAGCATTCCTCTTGTAACTTTACTAAATGATTGCAAATTCCATTTTTAAAATTGCTGATCATTTGCAGGGGGGTTCATACCATAATCTAATACCAGTTAAATGATAATTGGATTTTAATATAAATGTGAATGAAATTGCAGCCACAAATGAAGTACATGTTGCACAATTGTATGTAATTTGAAATGTTGCACAAAGCTTGGCTGCATCCATATGCTCCCTCTGACCAACACAGCTGAATCAAGTCCGATCACATCCTTACATGTTTTCCCCAGTACACAGCATGTGACAACCCGACACAACAGCAGCAGCAGCAGCAGCAGCAGCACCTGTATCAATGCTGTGAGTGTAGCTGTATGACAGTGGTGTACTCTAGTACAGTCTGTCCTGCCAAGCTCACAATTATCACCATAAATGTATTTCTCGTATTTCTCCTATTATATGACTAGATCTCTGTAGTGCCTGAAACAAAAATCAAACAATAGTAATCACCGTTTATAATTCAAAGAATACTTCCTCCAGTACATCATTGCTCGAAATCCTTTATATTGGCTGTCATCACACAACAAAATCTTCAGATGTTCAACAGAAGTCCTGTTCACTGCAGGCTATCCTGTAACTTGTGCCTATATATGTCCTCTATCCTTCTTTCTGTGCTTCTGCACATATGTAAGACAACAAAACATCACCTCTATTACATCAATGCAAGAATTAACCAGAGGAACATCTAGTAATCCAAGATAACTGACGGCAGTGTTGTTAAAATCACCTAAATGGTGAAAACAGAGAAACTTTAGATAAAATGCAAAATACATGATAACTTCCACTAAATACCATCATATTGGTATTTCTATGATGTCACATCCGGTGATAATGATGTCATTTTTGGGTCAAATGTTGTTCTTTCCCACTTTCTGTGGGTGATCTCTTCCAATGACATCCCTTCTGGTTATGACGTCACTCGGTGCTGAGATAACTTTCATTGCATAGTAGATCACTAGCAGATTGACTAATGCTAGTCCAGTCGTTAACCTATGATCTGCTCTACTGCTGGTTGCAAAGATCAAAATATTATCTTATTGAGCCACATGAGCTGTTTGATAAGGCCCTCATTGTTGGGTTCGCAGGATCCTAGCACTGGAGTAGAAGGTTGCGTGTGATGGTAGCTTTCTGTCATATTGGTCTTCAGCCATCTTGCAACTGTGGTCTTAATCTGAAGACGTTTTGCAAGATATGTAAAATCACTGGAAATTTATTGTTGAGACAAGTGGCAAATAGGGGCAGATATTGAACACTTCAACAAGGGTTGTTCAAAAATCAAAATGACTGTACATAGGAAATAAAGAGAAATTCCCAATACACATTTAGTAATAAAGAAAATAATAGCTAATCTGCTAATACTTTACTTACTTACAGAGCCGTCGTTGACAAACAAGATTGTCTAATATTCTTCCACTGGTGGCGACTGAGTGACTGCACGTGGAAGTAGGCTGGCTCTGTATAGGGCGAGTTCATTATTTGCGTCAGGGGTTGGTAACCTGCTGGGTTACAACCAGAGGGCCAAACTTCGCACGCCTTCAACGTCCTCGAGAGCCACAACGCGAAGATAATGACTAACAAAAACCTGTGACGAAATCCTTCCATTATTGTTCCAATAAAACAATTACTGTATTGAGCCATGCTAAGGCTAACACCCTGATATCATGATGGTAATTCGCTCTCGGTGGATTCTGTTTGGCGATCTCGGAGGCCTGAAGGATTACTGTGTGTAACCATAGAGATATGGTGTTTGCGACTAACTTTGGTCGTGGACGTAGTAAACACGGGTATAAATAACCGCTTCCTCGAACCACGCCTAGTCTTAGAGGGGTGAATGAAAACTCGCACCGAGCCCAGAAGAAATTCACCTTCATGTACGGCTCCCACAATAGTCGATATTGGTGGGATGGTGAAGGAACGGTCAGGTTGGCCTGGTAGTAGATTTTAGTAATAAAATCCCAGCATTACCTGAGATGTACCGCTCCGTGCGTCCCATGCTCAAAACGGATCTGGGTGGTGTCGATCACATGTAGTTCGCTCACCCGTGCTGCCGTTGCTAATGCCAAGAGAAACCATTGTTTTCTTGGTGAGGTCATAAAATGAAGATGCACAGAGGGGCTCGAAGGGGGCCTTCACAAACCTCGAAGTACCACGTTCAAGTCCAAAGCAGGTGGGCGGAACTTGGCCTTCTGATCCTCAAGCCTGAATGAGCGTAATAGGGCCTGTAGTTCCTTGACCTGAATCACCTTGTGATTTTCCGGAACAGCCAACACTGAGTTAAGTGCAGCCAATTACGTAGTAATGGTGCAACCTTCCAAGTGTCTTTGCGTACGCAAATGTAGGAGGTATTCAGCTAGGAATTGTTGTGACGCAATCATAGTGTCTTGATTCTTTTGCCGAGCAAAAAGTCTCAAATGATCCCCACTTGTCAACATATAGTCCTCTGGGAGAGGAACGATGAACTAAAGCTTTAGCTTTGCTTCCCGTGTCGAAATAACCCTTCGCACTTAAACGCCTTTTAAAGATGAACCATGCGTGCAGACGTAAGGTGAGGCTATTTGCTGTGAGGGTGGATGAGTAGGTTGGTCCACTAAGGGAGAGGTAGTGGATCGTCTTCAGATAGATTTTTCTGAGCTCGACAAACTACCCTCTCACCAGTCTTCAGGGCGCGACCAATGTGAGAGCAAGATACCTTGTCTCTTTGATCCCCTGTATCACCTTGGGAAGTAAAACTGGTGGCATAAAAGTGTATGCTTTTAGCCCTTCCCAAGGGATACTGAACTCGTCCACTGCCCAAGCCTGCGGATCCGGTAACAGGGAGATATACGTCATGAGTTGGTGGTCTAGGCAAGTAAGAAACAAGTCAATGTTTGGTTGCCTGAACTTCTGAAGCAGTAACTGGAATGCTTCTGTGAGAAGTTTCCACTCGGTGGGAGTCACCCTGTCTGGATGTGATAAGATGTCTGCTGGTATGTTTCGACATTCGGGGATGTGCTGAACTATGAACTGTAGTTGCAGCCGATCCACTAGATGAAAAAATCTGAATGTCTGTTGAAGTAGAAGTGGGAGTGTGGTGTTCCCTGATTGCGCAGGCACCACACCGCAGTGCTGTTGTCTGTGAATATTGCGAGTTGGGCTAACTGTATTTGATTCTGCCTATGTGATATGGCCAGAATTAAAGCTTCCAACTCCAAGTTGTTTATGTGCCACTTTCACTGAGTGCCGGACCATAGCCCTGAGGTTATCTGGTCTTGTAAGTGAACACTCCTCCCCTGAAGGGGGGCGTCCACGAACAGGTGTATATTCAGGGAAAACCCAAATAAAGAGACTCCGAAGACATTCAACTCCACCAATTGAGGTAAGGCCCTAGTTTAACCGGTCGAGTGATGTCCTTGAGTGGATCTGACTCCTGATGTAAGGGTTCAGGAAAAAATGAATTGGTTGCAGTTGTAAGTGGCCCATGCCAGTTGAGTCCTCTGCCAAGGTGATTAACCCTAGCAACACTTTCCATTGGTGAAGCGTGTGTGGTTGGTGTAGAGTGAGTGAGTGAGTATGGTTTTACGCCGCTTTTAGCAATATTCCAGCAATATCACGGCGGGGGACACCAGAAATGGGCTTTAACTAACGCTTTAACCACTAGGCTACCCGACCGCCCCTGTTGGTGTAGAGCAGATGACAACAGACATAGAAACTTGTGTCATCTGTCCCTTGGTACAGATAGTGGATCCTGGTCTGTCTGGAACAGGCCTCCTATGAACTGAAGCCAATAGGAAGGAGATAACTCCGGACTTTGCCTCGTTGATTATCCATCCCAGTTAAAAAGAAATAGTAGCCGTCTGCCTGGTTAATTCCCTGTGGCGTACGTACTAACGTTGACATGTGTTGATGACACAGGAGATCATCCTCCATCTACGACTTGAACTAAGTGTTCGTCAAGTGTAGATACGCAGTTATTGGCTTCATTACTCCTGTACATAGCCATAGAGTCACTGACATGTCAAATGGGAAACACTACCCATTGGTAGTCAACTACATTGAACTGGACCTGAAGAGTCTACGGTAGAGATGGATAGTCATGACTGATCAAGAATCAAACATATTGATGTTGATTATGAGAGGTCTTAACGTGGTGAGGCGGCAATAATGTGGACGCTTCAGATAACGTTCGTTGAACACAGAGAGCTTGTGGATCATTCTCACCTTGTCTGGGTCCTCCATGGGTACCAGGCAGATGTGAGGATAAAACCCCGGTGTAAAGACTGGGTTGTGAATCAACTCTACAGCTCTTCTTACCAACAGTATGTCTATGCTGGATATTCCAAATCAAACGTTACTGACATGAGATGGTCTGCTACCCAATCGGGTACTTGTGCTAAGCCGGTGATCTGCTCCAGTGCGTAGTGCCTTCCCTATCAGCAGGCTTTGATGACCCGCCTGGATAAGGAGCCATGTGGCGATGTTCCCGTACTTACTGCCCAGCGATGTATGCTGTACGAGAAAACACATTAGGTATTTGGTATACGTTAGGCGCAGATGTAGTTGCTTACACTTGTGCCAAGGATGTTGGAAAATCTCTAAGCTGATCACGTGCCGGTTGCGTAACCGAGGTACACTGTAAGGCTGACGTCATTGTAGAGACCTTGATTGGTACGCAGATGCTGCACTCAGCGCAGGTCTATGAGACAAGGCTCATCGGTGATTGTTGACGCCTGAGTTGTACATCTGCTGCGCTGGATATGTTGGAACAGCGCTAAGCTGATCGTGTGTCGCTTGCGTAATAGAGGCGCTTGGGTAGTAGTCAGGCACTGTGCTCGGCGCAGGTAACTGAGACACAAAGCTCAAAGGTATTGCGTCTGTGCTACCCCTTCATAGCAAGTTGAGACGCTGGTGCTGTAGGAGACGTTACGATACGCACAAAATCCTCCGGTATTGTTGATTTTGGTGGAGGGTGTACTTCTGCAGTCAGTTACGGGCGTCATATTACCTGCCGATAATAACGGCTGGGTGGTAATGACCGAACCATGTCCTTCGCTATTCTGCAATTGTGATATTCCTCTCGTCTCACGATGGGATTACTGCAAAATATGATAGTCAGTAACCTGCTTTTTTTTTGTAAAACTCGTAGGAGAGAGATTTACACAAAAATTACAATTAGAATTTGGCGAGTACATCTACGTGCATGACGAGGAACGTGGATAAACATCTTTGGGCAATTTTTTCCATGACAATATATACAACACACAAACATAAGTTACGCAGTTAAACCATTGTTGAAGAAATGGTACTGGATGAATGCCGTAGAATTGAGCAATAATCTATCGGCAAAAATATGAGTTGAAAGGGTATACAATATTTTTATATACGCAACTCAATGTAAACCAAAGCTATTTAGATTTTGGCAAACACATATGCGTGTAAGCCAAATGACATGGATGATAATCTTGGTAAGATTTTTTCCACGACAATTAGTACAATCACGCAAACATAGGTACGCAAATAAAAAATTGTTGATGAAGCAGGAATGGAAGAAGACGTAGATTTGATATTAATCTATCAGCAAACATATTTTTAACGAGTTGAAAATGTATACAATAATTTATATATACGCAACTCACTGTTACGCCAAAGTTACCTTGCTAGGCAAACAATTGTAACACAATTCAAAATGGTGGCGAACAACAAATATGTGGCGGGAAAAAAGACAAGAGGCTTTTCACACCTAATTTATTCACATAAAACTACACAACATGGTGAAAGTAATATGAAAAGAATACATAACCCATTGCAGATCAATTTTAGGATTATAGACGAAAACTGAAGGTCTAAATTAATCCAAAAGTAGAGCTCCGCTGGGACACGTCCTTGCTGTGCTGCGACAAGCAGTGATGTGAAGATGACCTTAGGTGTCATCAAGGTCACAGGACAGCGACGGAAGGTCAGTAATTGGGACTTCAGAACAACAACTTTATTTCTTCACCCAGGACCTTCACAGTTGCGCTGTCCTTCTAGTTGTCGTAAGGTAAGCAGTGAATGCATTAAGGAGTAATGCAGGATAAGTAAAATCTTAGAGGATATATATCTGGCAGTGAAGAGGACTTCTGATGACAGCAAAAATCCAGGATTTATGGCAATGATGTAATAGAGGCAATGTATTGTATTCAAATTCTGGAAACATTGACTGTACATAACTTCACATGTCTTGCTGTAATAAACTTAATCATAACTATGAGCAACCCGTGCAGATCCGGGGTAGAAGAGGTCTTCAGCAACCCATGCTTGCCATAACAGGCAACTGTGCTTGTCGTAAGAGGTGACTAACAGGATTGGGTGGTCAGGCTAGCTGACTTGGTTGATGCATGTCATTGTATCCCAATTGCGTGGATTGATGCTCATGATGTCAATCACTGAATTGTCTTGTCCAGGCTCAATTATTTACAGACCGCCATCATACAGCTGGAATATTGCTGAGTGAGGCGTTAAACAGCAAACAAACAAAACAAACAAACATAAGTATGGGCATGCAGTATGTACCTGCAACATTTCTTGTGCCTCTTTCCTGCGTGCAGCAATGTGGTCCGACTCCTCCAGCAGAGTTACTTCCTCCTTCTTATACAGCTGTGACACCAGCTCCGACTGAAGGTTGTCCTTCACGTGGTTCACCAGGAAGTGCATGATGGCCTTCGGGATGCTGTCTTGCGTGTTCTTACGCACTATCAGGAAGTAGGACTTGATGAGGCGCTCTGTCAGGACAAACAGAACATGTAATATGATCATGTTACGCTGGGGCATAAAGGAAATTCACTTTGTAAGTGGCTGCATCGTGTGTACATCAATATGATTAGCCACTACATCATGTTACACAGAGGAAATCCACTTTGTAAGTGGCTGCATCGTGTGTACATCAATATGATTAGCTACTACATCATGTTACACAGAGGAAATCCACTTCGTAAGTGGCTGCATCGTGTGTACATGAATATGATTAGCCACTACATCCTGTTACACAGAGGAAATCCACTTTGTAAGTGGCTGCATCGTGTGTACATCAATATGATTAGCCACTCAACCTGTTTCACTAAGGTAATCCACTTTGTAAGTGGCTGCATCGTGTGTACATCAACATGATTAGCCACTACATCCTGTTACACAGAGGAAATCCACATTGTAAGTGGCTGCATCGTGTGTAGATCAACATGATTAGCCACTACATCATGTTACACTTAGGAAATCCACTTTGTAAGTGGCTGCATCGTGTGTACATCAATATGATTAGCCACTACATCCTGTTACTCTAAGGAAATCCACTTTGTAAGTGGCTGCATCGTGTGTACATCAATATGATTAGCCACTACATCCTGTTACACAGAGGAAATCCACGTTGTAAGTGGCTGCTTCGTGTGTACATCAATATGATTAGCCACTACATCATGTTACTCTAAGGAAATCCACTTTGTAAGTGGCTGCATCGTGTGTACATCAATATGATTAGCCACTACATCCTGTTACACTAAGGAAATTCACTTTTTAAGTGGCTGCATCGTGTGTACATCAATATGATTAGCCACTACATCCTGTTACACTAAGGAAATCCACTTTGTAAGTGGCTGCATCGTGTGTACATCAATATGATTAGCCACTACATCCTGTTACACTAAGGAAATCCACTTTGTAAGTGGCTGCATCGTGTGTACATCAATATGATTAGCCACTACATCCTGTTACACTAAGGAAATCCACTTTGTAAGTGGCTGCATCGTGTGTACATCAATATGATTAGCCACTACATCATGTAAAACAGAGGAAATCCACTTTGTAAGTGGCTGCATCGTGTGTACATCAATATGATTAGCCACTACATCCTGTTTGACTAAGGAAATCCACTTTGTAAGTGGCTGCATCGTGTGTACATCAATATGATTAGCCACTACATCCTGTTACACTAAGGAAATCCACTTTGTAAGTGGCTGTATCGTGTGTCCATCAATATGATTAGCCACTACATCCTGTTACACTAAGGAAATCCACTTTGTAAGTGGCTGCATCGTGTGTACATCAATATGATTAGCCACTACATCCTGTTCCACTAAGGAAATCCACTTTGTAAGTGGCTGCATCGTGTGTACATGCACATGATTAGCCACTACATCCTGTTACACTTAGGAAATCCACTTTGTAAGTGGCTGCATCGTGTGTACATCAATATGATTAGCCACTACATCGTATTACACTAAGGAAATCCACTTTGTAAGTGGCTGCATCGTGTGTACATCAATATGATTAGCCACTACATCCTGTTACACTAAGGAAAACCACTTTGTAAGTGGCTGCATCGTGTGTACATCAATATGATTAGCCAACTACATCCTGTTACACTAAGGAAATCCACTTTGTAAGTGGCTGCATCTTGTGTACATCAACATGATTAGCCACTACATCCTGTTACACTAAGGAAATCCTTTTTTTAAGTGGCTGCATCGTGTGTACATCAATATGATTAACCAAAACATCCTGTTACACTAAGGAAATCCACTTTGTAAGTGGCTGCATCGTGTGTACAATAAATATGATTAGCCACTACATCGTGTTACACTAAGGAAATCCACTTTGTAAGTGGCTGCATCGTGTGTACATCAATATGATTAGCCACTACATCCTGTTACACTAAGGAAATCCACTTTGTAAGTGGCTGCATCGTGTGTACATCAATATGATTAGCCACTACATCCTGTTACACTAAGGAAATCCACTTTGTAAGTGGCTGCATCGTGTGTACATCAATATGATTAGCCACTACATCCTGTTACACTAAGGAAATCCACTTTGTAAGTGGCTGCATCGTGTGTACATGAATATGATTAGCCACTACATCATGTTACACTAAGGAAATCCACTTTGTAAGTGGCTGCATCGTGTGTACATCAATATGATTAGCCACTACATCCTGTTACACTAAGGAAATCCACTTTGTAAGTGGCTGCATCGTGTGTACATCAATATGATTAGCCACTACATCCTGTTACACTAAGGAAATCCATTTTTTAAGTGGCTGCATCGTGTGTACATCAATATGATTAGCCACTACATCCTGTTACACTAAGGAAATCCACTTTGTAAGTGGCTGTATCGTGTGTACATCAACATGATTAACCACTACATCATGTAACACTAAGGAAATCCACTTTGTAAGTGGCTGCATCGTGTGTACATCAATATGATTAGCCACTACATCCTGTTACACTAAGGAAATCCACTTTGTAAGTGGCTGCATCGTGTGTACATCAATATGATTAACCACTACATCGTGTTACACTAAGGAAATCCACTTTGTAAGTGGCTGCATCGTGTGTACATCAATATGATTAGCCACTACATCCTGTTACACTAAGGAAATCCACTTTGTAAGTGGCTGCATCGTGTGTACATCAATGTGATTAGCCACTATATCGTGTTACACTAAGGAAATCCACTTTGTCAGTGGCTGCATCGTGTGTACATCAATATGATTAGCCACTACATCATGTTACACAGAGGAAATCCACTTTGTAAGTGGCTGTATCGTGTGTACATCAACATGATTAGCCACTACATTGTGTTACACCGAGGAAATCCACTTTGTAAGTGGCTGTATCGTGTTTAAATCAACATGATTAACCACTACATCATGTTACACAGAGGAAATCCACTTTGTAAGTGGCTGCATCGTGTGTACATCAATATGATTAGCCACTACATCATGTTACACTAAGGAAATCCACTTTGTAAGTGGCTGCATCGTGTGTACATCAATATGATTAGCCACTACATCCTGTTACACTAAGGAAAACCACTTTGTAAGTGGCTGCATCGTGTGTACATCAATATGATTAGCCACTACATCCTGTTACACTAAGGAAATCCATTTTTTAAGTGGCTGCATCGTGTGTACATCAATATGATTAGCCACTACATCCTGTTACACTAAGGAAATCCACTTTGTAAGTGGCTGCATCTTGTGTACATCAACATGATTAGCCACTACATCATGTTACACTAAGGAAATCCTTTTTTTAAGTGGCTGCATCGTGTGTACATCAATATGATTAACCACTACATCCTGTTACACTAAGGAAATCCACTTTGTAAGTGGCTGCATCGTGTGTACATCAATATGATTAGCCACTACATCATGTTACACAGAGGAAATCCACTTTGTCAGTGGCTGCATCGTGTGTACATCAACATGATAAGCCACTACATCATGTTACACAGAGGAAATCCACTTTGTAAGTGGCTGTATCGTGTGTACATCAACATGATTAGCCACTACATTGTGTTACACCGAGGAAATCCACTTTGTAGTTGGCTGTATCGTGTTTACATCAACATGATTAGCCACTACATCATGTTACACAGAGGAAATCCACTTTGTAAGTGGCTGCATCATGTGTACATCAATATGATTAGCCACTACATCATGTTACACTAAGGAAATCCTTTTTTTAAGTGGCTGCATCGTGTGTACATCAATATGATTAGCCACTACATCCTGTTACACTAAGGAAATCCACTTTGTAAGTGGCTGCATCGTGTGTACATCAATATGATTAGCCACTACATCATGTAAAACAGAGGAAATCCATTTTGTAAGTGGCTGCATCATGTTTACATCAACATGATTAGCCACTACATCCTGTTACACTAAGGAAATCCACTTTGTAAGTGGCTGCATCGTGTGTACATCAATATGATTAGCCACTACATCATGTTACACTAAGGAAATCCATTTTGTAAGTGGCTGCATCGTGTGTACATCAATATGATTAGCCACTACATCATGTTTCACTAAGGAAATCCACTTTGTAAGTGGCTGCATCGTGTGTACATCAATATGATTAGCCACTACATCCTGTTACACTAAGGAAATCCACTTTGTAAGTGGCTGCATCGTGTGTACATCAATATGATTAGCCACTACATCCTGTTACACTAAGGAAATCCACTTTGTAAGTGGCTGCATCGTGTGTACATCAATATGATTAGCCACTACATCCTGTTACACTAAGGAAATCCACTTTGTAAGTGGCTGCATCTTGTGTACATCAACATGATTAGCCACTACATCCTGTTACACTAAGGAAATCCACTTTGTAAGTGGCTGCATCGTGTGTACATCAATATGATTAGCCACTACATCCTGTTACACTAAGGAAATCCACTTTGTAAGTGGCTGCATCGTGTGTACATCAATATGATTAGCCACTACATCCTGTTACACTAAGGAAATCCACTTTGTAAGTGGCTGCATCGTGTGTACATCAACATGATTAGCCACTACATCATGTTACACAGAGGAAATCCACTTTGTAAGTGGCTGTATCGTGTGTACATCAACATGATTAGCCACTACATTGTGTTACACTAAGGAAATCCACTTTGTAGTTGGCTGTATCGTGTTTACATCAACATGATTAGCCACTACATCATGTTACACAGAGGAAATCCACTTTGTAAGTGGCTGCATCATGTGTACATCAATATGATTAGCCACTACATCATGTTACACTAAGGAAATCCTTTTTTTAAGTGGCTGCATCGTGTGTACATCAATATGATTAGCCACTACATCCTGTTACACTAAGGAAATCCACTTTGTAAGTGGCTGCATCGTGTGTACATCAATATGATTAGCCACTACATCATGTAAAACAGAGGAAATCCATTTTGTAAGTGGCTGCATCATATTTACAGAAACATGATTAGC